CTTTCCATCAAAGCGAGACGACCATTGAGCGTGCAGTGACCTGCAGTGATAGTATAGAAATATATTAGTATCTATCATTGCAAGCTCAGCGGTCGTCTCCGAATTCAATGCAAAGCCTTAGCTAGCTTTCAAGATGGCGCAGGGAACCGTGAAGGCAAGGAGACAAGGAGAAATCTTTACTGAAACTTCGCTCCTTGTTCTCAGTATATCTAAAACTCTCTCGTGGAATGTGGTGTTGCTTCCTTTTTAACATATTTTTACGTCAATTCTTGATTAGTGGCAATATGGCACAAGTGATCTGTTAGTACAAATCGCCCGATTGAGTGACAAGAGAAAAACATTGTTCTCGCGTGATCGATATCGAAGAACATGTCTGCGGGCTTTTTTTTGCTCTCTCTCTCTATCGCGAAGAGAAACCGCAGACCGCAGGCAATAGTACTAACTGCTGAAACATCTGTACTTGCACATAGAAATTTCTAAACTTCTTCGTCAATATTGATCTCGTCAAGGCACAGACTCATTCGTTTCCAGTAACTCCTGATTTCCTGCAATTCRCTMGGTGACACATTCAARGGATCCTTGCTGGAAAATTTAAGCCGATCTTTCAGCGACGCATGCGCATTACGACCACCTCGGTAGCTAATAGTGTTTGATTTCTTGGAAATATGTCTTTGTTTTTCTGCCGTTGCGTATAAAGTTCTTGGGGATACATCAACAGAGCTATCATCTTTTATACTTGTATTAAGCGATGTCTCGCTCATTGTACTATTATTGGAACTCGGTAGAACTGTCGAAGAGGAATTCTCTCTGCTGTGCTGGACAGCAATTGTGGGGGTGGCAATTTTATTAGTGCGTTCGTTATTATTTTGAGCAATTTCGATGTCCTTTGTCTTACCAGTTTTTGGAACAGTGGGAAGCTTTCGACTTCCAGCTTCTCTATGATTCAATTTTCTAATCGCTCGCCGGTTCGCCTCGACTTTTGTGACATCGGCCATGGCTGAGTTTCCGAAACCCGGATGTGGTTTTCCATTTTGTGCTTGTTTTTGCTCTTCAAGTGCACTAAAKGACAGGATATCATTTGGTSTAGAGTCTGAATGTATTTGACATGRTGACCTCAATTTAGATACTTTAGTTTCATGTTCTCCTGTGAGATCATTTACGCCACTCAAGGCTATGTCATCAAACGCAACAGCTTTTAAACTAGAAGATAGCTTTAAATCGTGGTAAGAATTTGTTTTGGTTGCCCCATTTCTTAATAAAGATGACGGYGGAGAASAACTRATTCCTGTATTGATAATTCCCACTTCTTTTGGCTTCTCATTAGGCGTGGGCTGCTCTGAACTGTTTTCTGAGTGATTTTCGCGCTCCGCAAAAGCTGCTAGTGTGCTCAAGCGGTTGCGCATCACATCCGATGGGATCTCTCTATCCGTTTCACTCASCACTTTACTTAATCGCATCTTAGAAATCGAACTTTTGGTGTTTTTGCTCATCCATGTGGGAGGTTTTCCACAACATATCAGTAGCGTTATTGCGGATTTGAGCTTTCGGTTTAAAAATACGTAAATTAGTACGTTGTATACCACGCAAGACTTGGTAATGAGAAGCGTAATGTGGGAGCCCAAAGGTGACACMACTGAATTGCCAGTGAATGCCTTAATTAAAGAAACAACGACAAACGGGAGCCAGACGATGACACAGAAGAATATGACCACGACTATCATTTTAGCTGTCTGAACATGTGTTCTTTTAAATAAGGGGTACTTCCTTCTCAGCCCAGCCGGAGTTCCCGGAGGCCCTAGTTTTCTCCCAATAGTCCTACGAGTGCTCTTTCGAACAGCCCTGTATATGCTATGATAACACACGAYCATGATAATTAAAGGTGCCAAGAATAGGAACACAGACGCGAYCACTGAATATCCAATAGCGGCTGGATCTTGATCGCTGTAGTTTATATAGCAACCACTGTAAAAGTAGTCTTCAGTTACAAACGAGTTCCAACCAGTCAATGGCGGGAATGTAAAAAGCAAYACGTAAATGTAGATCACAGACAGCATWCCTAATGCTCTTGTCCGCGTAATCCTCCATGTTTGTACTTGCGTTGGCTTAGTGATGTGGAAGAAACGGTCGATAGAAATGGCGGCCAGTGTGCTCACAGTAATACTTATAAAGAAATAGTGCAAGAATCCGTAACATACGCAAGCAGTTCTGCTAAAAATCCAACGCTTGCTGTATGTTGAAGGAATTGACAGAGCGCTGTCCAAGGATGAAATKATTATGTCACATACYGCCAGGTTTAGAATAAATAAATTAGCAGCAGTACGCAGTCTTTCATATTTGGCAAACACTATAACGACCAACAAGTTACTAACAATTCCTACTATTCCAATTATGATGAGATAAACTACAGAAAMATGCCTCGCTGTAGYATATTGAAGTGTATTGTTGCTAAGATTTGCGGCCATTGAATTGACGATTTATACTGRCTCAAACCATCCGCTTAGATTCAGTCCCAATTATCGACGGCATATTACATCGATTGATCTTTGATATTTTGATATCTTTAGCGGACATCTTACAGACGACATCACTGTAGTCTAAACAAACAGTGAAGTGTGACAAGTGTTTCTCTCTTTGCCAAACCGAAGTCTTGACCAGATCAAGTGTTGTTGTTGTTTAACCTAGCGTATATGCATATAAACTTCAAAACCCAATCATTTGGAAAGTTCAATTTGTTTGGTAGTAATTAGCATGGAATAAATTACCTCTTTCTCGCAACATGATTTTCAAAAAGAAAGCAGCTGTATTCAGACTTATCTTCCGTCTTCCGATTTYTACAAACGTTCCAACCTAATGCTAAATTTTATGGGGGCGTGATKAGCGTAACATTAAATTCACACAATTTCCTTAATTAATGAGTTAATATTTGTCAAACAAATCCATATTTTTACTACCTTTGTAAACACGTTKGTATAGCTATAATGCGATTTTCAATTTTGCGATGAATTATTTAAGTCAATATACATCATAATGCCRTAATTTCTTCTTTCTACTAGTGCTACATCTTTGTCACTTCAAAACTAATAACTCAAAACTTCGCGCAAATGACTCTTTGTGGATCTTTGTGCTTTAACGAGTTTCTCTACCGGCTCAGTTTGTCTGATATTAGTTGTCACTTTATAGCTCTGTGTGTCCAAGATCAGATAGCCAATTAAAAAACACTGGATTTTAAATGACATTTCTCGTCATGTTGAATACGAAATGCAACTTATACAAAATTGTGAAGTCTCTTTGTCAAAAAAGACAAAGGTCTTTCTTTCWWGTGCGACAGATTGTTTCGCGCGAGCACTTCTATTCGGGGAGGTTGAAAGTAATAGAATTCGCCAAAAGAACGAAAAACGCATTCCTTGTAAAAGAATAATTATCATCTCTGCTGACCAGACCATAAACAGTGAGAAAGGTCACGAAGCAATATCGCAACCTTATCAGCTGAAACATAAGGCTTTTCGTTCCACGCATAACATTAATCGTATGACTCATTTAAATTTTTACTGATCGATTCTCGCATTTTCATCACTTTTGTCGGTGAGGTGACCATGGAGACGGTGACTGATGCCCTTGACAACCAAAATTGTAATAATGAAATTARCAATATTGCCAGTGTTTTTGAGCGAAGCTATACCGATTTCTTGTATGAAACGATCAATTTGCAAAATAGATTGACATTCAAAGAATAAATTTGTTTGCGGCTGGTGCTAAGCTTCAATCGACAATGTATTGAAAGATGATGATGCATTCATACAACAGCCGCGAAGTTTGGTGGAATCTAGACCACAATGCAACGCGTCAGACCTAAGCTACAGGAATCCATGAAAAAAGACGAATGCGAAAAAGGAMGCTACTACGGCCCAGTATGCAAAACCTAAGACAAATGTCTCAACTGATCTTAGTGCTTCAATTTTGCTGTGGGTCGATTACATGTCGATGACCATATGGATAGCCTTTGTGCTTAGCAGCCATATCTATTCCGGATTCATTGAATAAATGAATGCAGGAATGACAGATATATAAGTGGTGACTGCAGGCCATTAAAAAGATGACATTCAGTCTTTTTCTCGATGTACTCATATAGTAAAACTCCCTTCGTTAGGAAAAAATCATTTGTCGTCGCCTTAGGTTTNAGAAGAAAATATTGATACGATCATCAAAATAAACGTCATAGAAAAGTTTCTTTCCTTGGGCTTTAATGCTAGCGGGCATCTATCCGTTTCATGATGTATACTTGGAACCTGGTAACCACTTGTACAACTTGTACTCGTTCCCAGGTCTTCCTCAAGCAAAAAACATGTCGGAGCCATTCCGGTTATTAGCCGCAAGTTGAACGTAGAAGTGGCCTTCTTTTTGTTGTTGTTTAATTTGTAGCAACTCTCTTTATCTCCTTTACGAAAACCAAAAATGGTAAATGTATTAAAAGGAGTTCTCATCGAATGGTAAGTGAAAATTTGGCTATCTTGTAAACCGTATTAAATTTTAACAAATTTCGTTAAGAGCTAAAATAGCTAGACCACCCTTTAATACAACTCATAGGGAATGCACCTCAAGTCATTCTAGTAACCAAGAGTACCGAAATCGTTTGTGTTGACCACTTGATGAACCTGAAAATTAATGTAGTAATGGGAACTTTTAGGTAYAAAAATGGAATAGCTGTCAGTGGTCTAGTATCTTTCATTATGCTGGAGGGTATACTTGAACAGTGCCTGCAATCTTTTTTTGTTTTTTTTTTATTTCATTATTTCATCAGTGATCCAGCTGTCAAGCAGTTTCTCCTCTTCATGGATGAGAACAATGTCTTAAAACAAAAGTTTATCATCGAAGACTTGGATGAAACCCACTTGTTTGTGTCTGCTGACATTGTACCAGTTTTGCAAGAAAAAGTCTGGGAGTTGATGGACAATAATTCATTTAATATTGCTCAGCTAAACTAAAGACAAACAAATCAASTCTATGCTTTTTATTTGGRCAGGGCTGTGTATTAAAGAAAAATGATGCTGAATCATTTAAAAGACAGCAAATTCAGTTATGCCGCMATCTTCTGATGGAGTTAATGGGCAGTTATTCAATATTGTCCAGCTCAACTAAACACCAAATCAAGTCATGTGTTGTYGATATGCTGGCTAGTACTGTCAACAATTATAAMAAAAAGAGTWTGGTAGATWKTGTAGCTCTGTCGCTWTTTGTTGATGATGCCACTAAGTTTCCATCTTGGATCTTCTATGATTTAATTCAAGAATGTAGTAGACTTATATAATTATAAATCAACACTGCACTGTCAAGATTGCATGTCTGATGTTTAGCAATACCCATTGCTTTCAACGAAAATAATTTCCAATGAAAGACTTCAAAAGAAGACATCATGAGATACCATGAATCGTGTGGTCTCTATTTCTAGGGATGTTATAAATTATAAGTCCTTTATTGTGGGGTTTCAAACCWAGTGGAAAGAAATGTATTGGATCTAGTGAGTGTGCCCGTAAAATGATCAAAATGTGTCTGCATTTGTGGCTTCCAATGTATTTCTTTAGAAATTTTCACTTCACTTCACTTCAATAAATAGATGCAAACATTTGGAAGGCTGATTTACACCAAAGCTTGGTGTTTTGCATTTCTCAGTAAGGRCTTTCTTTCTATTACGTCTTATCTCATCGTTATCTAATTAGGTTTTTTTTCCCAGTCCCCACTTGGTTTGAAACCTGGGAGTTCTCAAGATTTTGAACCAACTATATTCTGGYCTAGTCTTTGCAGCCTCTATAGGAAGAACAGGAAGGCATATAAGTAGTGCCTTCCATTCGAGGTCATTAATAAAATGACAGAATATTGAACTTAATTTAGAATACAGATTTTGAAATAAAATAAAATTTCAATGGCTGCTGCTATTCTTTAAATGTGCGCGCGATGAGAGAAGATACGGGGTTCCTGTGTATTGTCTTTATTGCGTAATTTTTAACGCATGCGCAAATTTGCCTTGTACACGAGGGTTGCGTTAGACTTGAAACTGCGGCAAAAATTCGTCTTTATTTTTTAGATTTGTGAGTAATTATGGACTTAAGTGATAAAAATAATGACTATGAAGACCGCTACGGTAATTCTTTACCGAATATGGATTTCTCTGGTAAGTAAAACCTGTTTTTTCCTTGAGCAGGCTGTGTATAGCAACAGGAAGGGCAGCATGTCAGTTCGTGTCGTATCTTTTCCTCGATCATTTTTATGATATTTATTTGTAATAATCTTTAAGTTTTCACTTCTTCTGGAATTAATTGTGAATGAATTGATCAGAACAGCTCTGATTTCTTCTTCGGGATAAAAGCTAATCCTATTTTTATAGAAATGCAAAGCTGAACTTGTCGTGTGTGCTGCAGATTTCGTATGTCTG